GTGGGGACAGGTCTGTCACTGTATAACACTGGGGTACAGTACCGGTGCGGACAGGTCTGTCACTGTATAGCACTGGGGTACAGTATCGGTGGGGATGGGTCTGTCACTGTGTATAACATTGGGGTACAGTACTGGTGGGGGACAGGTCTGTCTCTGTCTCACATTGGGGTACAGTATTGGTGGTGACAGGTCTGACACTGTATAATACTGGGATATAGTACCAGTGGGGATGGGTCTGTCACTGTGTATAACATTGGGGTACAGTACTGGTGGGGACAGGGTTAATTCTGTGTAACGGTTACGGTACTCATTTTGAACATTTGAATACGACCATTCGGCCCCTTGAGTCTGCTCCTTCATATAATAAGACGGTGGCTGCTCTGATGGTAACCTCAAACCCGTTTCCTGCCTATCTCTGATAACTACATGTCTGTCCCTTGGGTACAATTGTCATGCGGTCAGGCCATGTCAACTTGATATGGAGATATTGACTAGAGTCAGGAGACTATGTTCAGTGAGCACAGAAAACTGATCCTACGCTTGATAGAGAATCTGGGCTGGTTGTGCTGCATTTAGGCAGCCATTTGAGATGTGAGTCTAGCAGGAATGAGGAGCTACAGCTCACCAACATAACAAAGGTTCCAATCTCTCATTGCAAAGTTGACTTCTTTCATGCAAAGCCTTGTGTTTAATCTAAGAAAAGTATCAGCCTTTGCCTTCCCTTCTCTCTCGACTCCCTCACATACCTCTTTCTTCCTTCCTGCCCTTCAATTGAAAGTTCATTTTCTGTCTTTCTCCAATAGATGCCTGGGGTGAATCAAGGCTCCGACCTGGAACCTCCACCATCCCAAATACCCCAGCGTGGAGGAGCGGCCATGGCCAAGATTCAGGCCCATCTTCAGCAGATGAACCATCAGGTTCAGGCTCAGAGTTTTGCAGTGCAGAAACAAGCCCAACAACAGCAGTTCCAGAGGCTCAAGGTAAGACTGACTGACAGATTAAAGGAATATACTGTGTTCTGATAGTGTTGTGACAGTGTCTATTCCCACCATACCTCTGAATACATTTACCAGGGGCTGCTGTTCTGGTTTCGGCGAGGTCTTCAGCTGGTTGTCCCCAGTGAAAGTAAGTAAAGGAAAACTCGAATGTTCTGAATTTTCAGGAATAACAACATCCGTCTCAGTTTAATGTTAGATTTGACCAATATGCTCGGAATTGTGTTATCCCCGGATAAGAAGCAAACTTCTCAGTGAACCTGCACAGTCTGGATGAGTGCTGAAGAAGTGGTCATTGTGAAAAGTTCCCTGTGCACTCTGAGTAAACACTGAACAAGTGGCTCGTGTTCATCTTGTTACAGTACTTTGTAAATGCTAGTCTGGAGAAACCTCCCGTTGGAGAGAAGGTGATACGGTGAGTGTAACTGGTGATGAGACAACCATTACCAGCAATGATGCTAATTTAGGGGAGGCCACTATGTGTGTTCCAAGCTGAAAGGGAATTCACAATCATTATACTGTTTAAAAACTGGATAATGTTTTGTTTCAATTCCCTTGTCAGAAACTCTCTGAAGTGGAGGTGGCACTTCCTGCACTTGGTCCCAAAGGGGCATGGAACTGTTGCATTGACAATTTCAGAATATATTGAAGAAAAATGCTTGGACTGAGATTTGTGTTTGAGAATGTATTTGCCGTGTGGGTGATTGAGAGAGTGTGCACAATTATGATACATCTGGGTTGTTTAATGTTGATAGAGTGTTTGGCATGATGCAGGCTTCAGTATAGCATGCCTGGCAGAAAAGACTATCTGGTTCATCGTACTTGCCTTGTACCCCTCATCCATAATGCCTGAAGCATGGTGATTCAACACTCTTTGACCCATAAGTAGCCATGTCCTGAGAAGGGCAAAGCAACCAAATTAAAAATCTGGACAATTCTTCTATAAGTCCTTTGAATGATTGAAACTTGTTCAGGAGATCAATCATATTGACTGTAATTTTACTGGCTCTTTAAGTATATTTTATCACTCTTGAATATAAGATGTAATGATTGCCACTGCTCTCATCTGCACATATAGAGATTAGCAATCACTATAAGAGCTGACAAATTGTTCGTTGGTCCCTGAAGAACTAATTAAGTAATAACCCTGTACTGCTTTCACCCAGTTTCTTCATGTGATTCCAGCTCTTTCCCTAGAGTGAAGTAATCTGTCAGGTGAAACACAGTCTGGTCCTTTTAACTATTTTATGCACCTTGATAAAATAATCCTAAAATTTATTTCCTGCTGCAGGAACCAGAGCCAGGTACCAGGTTTTAAGCTTTAGTAGCAGTCATCATGGAGGGTCATAGGATTCTAAATGTGTTCTATGGTTTTGTACAAAAATAGAATGGTGCTTTTTGTTTTGTGCTGAATAATCCTGTTAATACAACCTCATGCGTTATTAGTGTGCTTTTCAGGTGGAAGATGCCTTGTCGTACCTGGACCAGGTTAAGATGCAATTTGGGAACAACCCAGCCGTTTACAATGAGTTTCTTGACATCATGAAGGAATTTAAATCACAAAGGTATGTGAAAGGCTATGTGTACCTTCCCTCAAACCAACAGCAGCCTGGGGATGTCTATCCCACAATCATGGAAGCTGTAATGGAGAAACCCTAGGCAGCTTGCCAGGCATTCCCTTAAAGATTGTGGGCACTGACAATCCATAGCAATTGGAATAAATAAAACATGCATTTATGTTGTGCCTTTCATGATCAGACATTTCAAAACACTCAAATAAAACAAAGAACTATGGGTGCTGGAGATGAGAAATAAAAACAGAAATTGCTGGAGAAATTCAAGGTCTGGCAGCAGCTATGGAGGAAAAATCAAAGTTAACGTATCGAGTCCAGTGACCCTTCATCAGAACTGAAATAACTCTGATTTTCTCTCCACAGGTGCTGCCAGACTTGTTGAATTTCCCCAGCGCTTACTGATTTTATTGCAATGCAGTCTACAGCCAATGAAGTGCCTTTGAAGTGTAGCTGTTTTTGTGGTATAGGAGACAAGTGTAGTAAGATGCACTAAACAACAATATGTTACTGATCAAATAATCTCTTTCTTGTGATGCTTACTGAGAGCTAAGTGTTGGCCAGGATACTGAGGTGAACTGTCCTGTTATTCTTTCAAAGAATTTCCTGGGATCTTCAACACAGATGAGACCGCATTAAACACCTCACCGGAAAATCCATGTAGCACATCCTCAGTTCTCCACTGTCAGCCCTTTTTTAATATACCTGAGTAAATTGGTTTTCAATCTTACATGGGTTGTGACAAATTTAACAAGACCAACATTTATTGCCATTTCTAAATACCCTTGAAGTAAGTGACTTGCTAGGCCATTTCAGAGGACCTTGAGTTACGTGTCTGCCAGAATAGGTGAGAATGACAAATTTCCTTCATTAAAGGACATTAATGAACCAGTTGTGTTTTTACAGCAATTAAAATCAACATGGCAGTAGTGATTGTAATGTGGTCAGCCAGCTGGACCTCATAGAGTGTGCGTTCCCTGATTGAACCAGGTTACCAGCCCCAGTCAGGGAGCCCTTGCTCCCAGATGAAAAGGCAAGTGTCAGAAAAACTGACACTCTGGTATCCGACTGAATAAGGCAGTAGTAGAGTCAAGGGCTGTTCATGAATACATAAAGGGTGACTTGCTGATAGATACTGGCTCCTGTGGAGTTATTTCAATGGTCACATTGGACCAGCTTTCTTTAATTACAGATTTTATTGAATTCAAATTTCACTATCTGCTGTAGTGAGATTCAAACCCGTAATGCTAGAACATTGATGTGGGCCAGTGACATTACCTTGATGTCACTACCTCTCCTCAAGCAAGGCGCCCTGAACTGGTTGTGCCACTTGATAAAATGATGGCTGCTCTGATTGTAGTTTCTATTTTCCTGTCTACCCCTATAGCCTTGACCCCCTCGTCAGTTAAGAACTGATTTAACGTCAATTTAAAGAAAAATCCGATATTAAAACAAAGTGCTAGATGAACTGAGCAAGCTTGTCAGCATCAGTGGAGAGTGAAACAGTTACCATTTCACACTCAGTATGACTCTTTGGAATAATGTATTTAACGCAATATTAAAAAATAATCAATGACCCTCCACCACTGCTGTCTGGAGAAGAAATTTCTATAGATTCCCAGCTCTCTGAGAGAAATTTTCTTCAGTTCCATCTTGAGTGGAAAAGCTCTTATTTTTCAACTGTCTCTCCTAGTTCTAGTCTCTCCCACCCTGTCTAGTCCCCTGACCAACTTGTTTCAACAAGATCACTTCTCCAATCTAAGCTCCAATCTATCTAGCTCAATATTCAATGACCAAGAGTTGGGAAGAGAATTCCACAGACTGTCAACCCACTGAGAAAAAATATGTCTCATCTCAGTCTTAAATGTTTTTAAACAGTTCCTTTCCCCTAACAGAATTTTAGGGGAGACATCTTTTCAACACTCACACTATCAACCCCCCTCTTCTATGTTTCAATAAGATCATCTGTCATTCTTCTAAGCCCCAGTGGATACACACCCAGCCTTATTAAAAGATAACTCCTTCAGCCCACGATTCAGTGGAGTAAACCTTCTCTGAACTGCTTATGCAATTGTAGTCTTTCTTCAATAAGGCAACCAAAACTATACACAGTATATCAGATATTCACTAATGCACTGTACAACCTTAACATAACTTGGCTACTTTAAAAATCCATTTCCCTTGCAATAAGCATGTTGGATTCCTGGAATGAAACTTAACTCTGTAACATTATGATTCAAAGCCAAGAATGCCAACACCTGAGCCGTAGCAGACAGCTTTTCAAAAACAAAAAGACAGCTTCTTATTGGAGTTGACAGAGTAAAGGTGGATGATTGGAGCTGAACTATAGATCAGCCATAATGTATTTTGAGCTGCAAATCAGGCTTGAGGGGCTGAATGACCACCCGTTCATCAGGGTTTGAGCTCCTAAGTGACACAGCTCCCTTTCTGTTTCCCGCCTGTCTCATTGAATGGTGGAGTAGACAATAGCTGAATATTGGGCATTGAGTGGTGGTGAGCTGTACAGACCAGGATGGAAAACTAATGCATTTATGCAAGGGTTTTGATGGCTAAAGTAGTTGTTATTGGCATTGGAGGGCTGTTTCATACCAGTCACATTGGAACCACCTTGATCATGTTCCTAAGTATTTCTTGTTCTGGATTGCAGCATTGACACACCTGGTGTGATCGATAGGGTTTCACGCCTCTTCCAGGGTCACCCTGACCTTATTTTGGGCTTCAATGCTTTCTTGCCACCCGGTTACAGAATAGAGATCCAGAAAAACAAAGCAGTGAGTGTGCATGGACCCGCACAGACTGAGACTCAGGTATGCACACTGAATTGAGTTTGTGTGTGTGTGTGTGTGTGTGTGTGTGTGTGTGTGTGTGTGTGTGT